CGCCCCTCCTCTGAGCGTCAGCCCCCGCCCCCCCAGCGCCGCGCCATCCCCCGCAAAATAAATAAATTAATAAAAACCTGAGCGCCGCCCTAGCCCAAGGTGCCGCCCCAAGCACGTGCTTGGTTGGCTGGTGCCTGGAGCCGGCCCTGCCCACAACTCCTCAGGGGGTTTCCTCAGTGAATGAATACACAGCGCCTTTCCCTGCAGTCCCAGTGGTTCTCAAACTATTGTACTGGTGACCCCTTTCACATAGCAAGCCTCTGAGTGCGACCCCCCCCCTTATAAATTGAAAACACTTGTTTATATATATAACACCATTATAAATGCTGGAGGCAAAGTGGGGTTTGGGGTGGAGGCAGCTCACAACCCCTCCATTTAATAACCTCACAACCCCCCAGTTTGAGAACCCCTACACATTCTGTTATACTGAGAACTGTCATCTGCTGTATGCATAGCCAGGGTGATCCCCTGTCTGCTTTCATGTTCCTTTTCACCTCCAAGTGGTTTTGATCATTTGCCATGGTCTTTGATGGTTTTCCATTGACAGTTCTGGGATGTGGCAAGGGTAGACAACACAGCTTTCTGTAGATACTTTCCATGTTCTACTTGATGGATAAATATCCTATAAGATGTATTTGGTGTGGTGAGTTTGTCAGGTCTGAGGTGAGATCTGTTTGCAAAGAACAGGGGACCCTTTGCCAAGCACTCTCTGTGTCACACCCACCCCATTTCCTTTTCTCTTATTCTTTATCTTTCCTCTTATTCCACCAACTCCATCTCATGCTGACCCTGGTGTTGTTCCTGGCAAACGATATTCTTCCTTTGGGCCCAGAGCTCTCTCATCTCCACCTCCTAAAGGAAAACACAGGACAGAGAGGACTGAGTTCAGCTACAAAACAAACCAGGAACCAGGAAAACTACTGAACAAATAAGAAAATTAAAACAAACAAACTCTGCCTATGATACTAACAACATTATTGAAGAAATTAATTAAAGGGAAAAAATCCAGCTCCTCACTTCCATGAGCACCGACACCCAACACTGTTGTTGTTCTTCATTATACACTCTGGGTCTCCAGGCCCATAAATGGTATGGGCAGGGAGTGGCATTAGCAGCTGTTGACCCTTTGTCATGGCATCTACAAGTGTGCGGGTGTTGCTGCTCACAACGCATGTGCAGACCCTTGTGCAGGACACACTATTTAAAGCAGGCAATGCAGCAAACCAAAAAGAGGGACTAAGTGCACACAAACAGTATAAGCCATAGACACTAAGCACCAGCTCCAGGGAGCAGCGCGAGGAAATATATGGTGGGTGCAACAACCCACAGGCCCTGCAACATTTGCAGCGTGTGCTTATGTGGAGGAAGTGCATTGTGTGCCCCTGAGAGAATGGCTAGTGTGGCTGCACTGCATCCTTGCAGCTTCCAGTTCAGTCACACTGATGCAAGTTGCAACATGGAGTTCTCTGATGTACATGTCAGATCATAACATCTTTAGGGCCTTGTGAATTAGTGCTATGACTCAAATTCACTCTGGAAGGGAATGGGAAACAAATTGAGTTTTTGGAACCTCAGAGAGAGGGGCTTGCATCAGCCGTTTTGCTTAAAAATGAGCTGCTGCCATCTGAATGTGGTGCTTATATCTCCCCCAGGTACAGTGAATTGTGTTGCTAACACAACACAAACAGCATTCACTGAGGTATGGCCAATTGCTTGGCAACACTTGCATTTCAGTATTAAAAATATTTGAGACCAAATAAACCATCTTCCCGTAGTTTATTAATAAGAAACGAAAGATGAATATGAAAAGGAGGCATACATACCTCTCCTTCTGGGAATGAATTTATCTCACAACATCTTCACCTTACACGGAAATTGTGCTTCAACAATGTGCATCTGAGATAACACAGCCTGGTTATTTACAAGTTAGAAAGCACAGACTATGTCACCCAGGGCTAGAACTCACCAGTCACCTGTTTACCTTGTTTTCCTTATCATGGTGTACCTTTTTCTTTGTTTTGAATGCTACCTTACAAAGTGTCATGAAAGCACCACCCAACCTGTATTAAGATGTACAGTGGATGTATCATGCCTTTGATTGGTTATACAGTTTCTAATGCCAATAGCTGCATTTTGCTTTTTAGAGTATTATGGAATATTTATCTTTTGACATAAGTGAGCAAAAGTGAACAAAGTTTTGGCAGAGACATAAAATACACATAAAATATTAATGTAGTGTACCCTGGTGAGCACCATGCCTCAATGACGTGCTGAGAAATAGGGCAGGCTCACCCCAAACTGGTGATTATTCTACCATTAGCTATACCAAGCCAGTTACAAATGTAAACTTCTGTCTCACCACACCGGTTAACAAGAAGCCAGAAATGCACTCTCCTTAGGCGTTTCAGCACTTATTTCACAACCCAGACACTAGACTTTATGATGAGTGGTTACTGAAAGACACTTTTATCGAAGAAAGGGTTCTTCTAATCTCAAGAGACCAGCCATGTAGCCAAGTCAATATACAACCCAATAATCACGCTGTTGCCAATCCTTTAATATCTAAACTCTAACGGTTTATTTTCAAGAGAAAAGAAGTAGAGTTAAAGGGGTTAATAGATCATGTATATATACAATCTTTGCAAAGTTCTAGTATGAGGTTTGTAGCAGTGATGTTACAGACTGCTGACTTGTAAAATCTCTGGTAACTTCCAAAAGATTATCCATAGTCAATATGCTCCTTTCCATTGTAAATCCACAGTCCAGAGAATCAGAGCAGGAAAGAGGCAAAATTGAGACATTTCCCGGATCTTTTATATCTTCTGCCATGTGGGTGGAATTTTACTGTCCTACAAAAATCTCACAGTCTCAGTTTATGGAAAATTAAAGGCACAGGATGGAGTCCAGAGTCACAGAGCAATTCACGTGCCCTTGTATGCTTTGATGACTGTTAGTCACAGCCATTACCCATATTCTGGTAGTGGTGTCC